AGACTAAATAGGGGAGACAACGAGACACAGGTGTGACACATTGGGACAGGTGCAGGTAATCAAACAGGCGGGAAACACAAGGGAGCAGGACGTGAAGAAACCTGAAAGGAGACAAGACGTGAGTTTCAAAATAAAACAGGAAACACAAGACAAGAAACATGAGAATGTTACAGTGACCTGTCTGCAATGTGCCAAACAGCATTAGCGTAACACAGATTTGTAACATGAACTGCTTTATTAAGTGTTTTTATTGGTCTTAATCACTTGGTCCATTTGTTTTGGAGAGGAAGAGACCTCTGTGGATAATTCGGCTCCGGGTAAAAAACCTCCTGAACAATTAAGGAAGGAATTCTAACTGGGAGAAGTTTCAGCTGGTTGCAATCTGTGATCCTGATGCCACTTAATCTCCCTAAAACTCACACATTGGGTTACTTTTAGGGTTATTTTTTGTAATCTTTATTTAACTATGGTTATTCTGGACCCAGTGTTGGGCATAAAAAGCTCAGAATTGTCACAACTGTATATTGTTAAGCCTAGCTCACATTACATGATTTTCACCGTGATTTTGACGTCGCAGAGGATCTTGAGAGCCACCTTGGGTCGCAGGTGAGTCCGCAGATAGTCTGCCACGATGAGTCCTCATGTGTGAACAAGCCTACGAGCAAGTCACCCCCTCGTCTGTGACTGGGACTGGATATCTGGCATGCTAGAAAACTGGAGAAGTCTGACACGACTGACAAAGAGCATCAGCCAATGAGAGGCGGGATACGTCCCACGTCAGCACGCAGGAGGATGGAAGAAATGTGAGGAGGACAAGCCGCAGGGTTGCCAGGTCTGCTTATTAGCCGCAACTTTGGGCTTGTTTTTTTGTAAAGTCACTTACAAATATTGGTAGTCACGAGTTGCAGTTTTTTGGGCTTGTTTCTAAACGTCACCTTTCTCTCTATATATCCGTCGCAACACTGAAGAGCCGGCAAGCAGGATCACGGGTAGAGTGTTGTGTTTGGACCCAGGCCCTGGAGGCAGATCTGAAGAATATCCATGCCCTTACAATGTGTTGTCCCCAAGTTAAAAAACATAGTTTGGTGACGTCACCGCGTTATCTGGGGCTCTGTCGCGAGGGCTGACAGGCGTGCACACACAGGTCGTAACGCAGTTGAAGAAACAGTCGAAACACGTCGCTAGGTATGAACACTCAAAAGATTATGATAGTCACTGGGTCAGAACAACCCATGGTTCTTGGTGGTTCTTACGGGTACTGGGTGAAATTATCCCTCATTACATTGATGCTATTGACTCAAAGTTGGTCAGCTTTGACCTGGTAATTTTCTGTGTGTTTAGTCTTCTGTTTTCCGCTAAGAAAGCATATCTACTGGAGCAATGTGGATCGAGTGCCTCGCTTAAGGGCATGTCATCATTTAGCACTGACTGAAGAGAGAGCATTCCCCATTCATTTTCCTAACCCAGATTTCCCCAGACCGTCCCTCACAGCCCCTGCAACCGAAGACGAATGAATCTGACTCTCCTACAGCTCCTCTTCCTTTGTCCAGGACATTTCAAAACTTCCTGTCGGTGTCCCTAAACCCATAATAGATGTGTGTATCTTCCCCTGTCTGGGATGCGTGATTCACTGTCCCTGAAACACAGCACCACCTAATCTTGAAGAGAAGATAAAGCTAATTAGGGGAAAGAGACATCAATCACAGCTCCAGGGCTCGTTATGTACTGTGCATACCAAGAGTGGCATCTCAGTCACTGGGTGTGTTTGAGCGCTTGAGTCAGTCATACACACGTAGCTATTATTATGAGTTATGTCAGGAGGAACGTCTTCAGCCTCCAAGAATGAGAAAGCTGTATTAAATGTTTCCTCGACTCTTTTTGGGAGTAACCGGCTGTTATCATTTTCAAGTGAGCGAGGAGTGATGGACTAAAATTAGTGCAGAAATCAACAGAAATCAGTCTCTTTTGTTGAAATGACCTTCGGCAGTATAACTCATTTCAGAGACCAGAAAGCTGGCGAGCAGCTCTGTTTGGATGTACAACATGCATTAATACAGCTGTCACAGAGACACACACACCCTTTCCGATGATTACAGCAGGTCCGGGAGGTTCACTGAACTCTGAGAGGGGGCAGAAGATTATCTCATAGCTTAAAGTAGAGCTTATTAAAAAGAAGATCATCTTAACGCTGTTGTTTATAACATTCTTATACTTTAATTAGCTCAAATGTCTTTACACTTAATGAGGAACTGGTGCACCTTTACAGCTGCTCTGTTGTGTAAGTTGCCATGGAAGGAAGCCAAAACATGAGGGTGCAGGACTGCATTCATCCTGTAGGTGGGAGTGTAACTCTTTCTGTGACACAACCTACAGCTGGAGTTTATCTGTGTAGAGCCTACAATACATTACACACACATATAAAAAAAGACTATAATTATTTTATTTCAGATATCAAACATGATCATTGCTTTTATTATCCCTCATAAAATGTGCATGCGTCAAACAGGCGTGTGTCGATGGATGACGTGTATGTTCACTGGCAAGGTGTGAACAGGTATGTAAATAGGCATGGATATTTACTGTGTGACATGCCCTGACAAGAGTGGATTATATACTTTATGGAGTTCACCAAGGAATAATGTTCACTACGGTGTGTAAGCGAGAATCGGTGCACAATCAACGTTTGTCAAGTGAAAATTACAGATAACGAACTGGTTAAAAGATGATAACTTCATTCACTGTGTATCTTGCAAATGAAATACATCAAATGCAAAAAAATAACTATAAGAATTAGAAATCAAGTCTAAAAAAATAGGTGAGTTATAAAACATGCAATATTTCCAGTGACTCTCCTGTTGTGATGTGATAACTAAGATAACATAATATGATATTAAATGTACTGATGTCTTTGTTTTTATACATGGGTATACACTAGAATGTGTGTGTGAATATATGTGTATGCACATGTACACACACACCCACGTGTTGGTGTGTGCCTGTGTGTGTATGTGTGCATTTAAGGCACACGTCATCATGTCTTATGTTGGTAAAATGTGTCCTCTGACTGAAATTATCAGTAATCTGTAAATTATACCCTGTGGATTAAAATGCATGTAAGAAGTTGAATTTTATCCTATCAAATCGTATTTATGTAACCAGATAAAATAATAATAATAATAATATTCTTCTTATTATTATATTTATTTTTATTTATTTGAAATAATTTTTATTTATTTAATTTACTGTACATATTTATTTATGTATTATTATTATTATTATTATTATTATTATTATTATTATTATATTGAATTTATTTATTTGAAATTAGTTTTATTTATTTAAATAACATTTATTTTTAAATAATAATAATAATAATAATAATAATTATTATTATTATTATTATTATTATTCATTGTTATTTTTGATATTTCTTGATTATTTTTTCTTCCTGTTCTTTGTTCTTTCTTTTTTATGATGTATAACTCCATTATTACTGTCAAATATTTTTTTAAATGCAAATTAAAAAACAAATAATTAATTAATTAAAATTAATACAATAAAATAATTAGTGTAATAGTTATAAAAATTAATAATAATAATAATAATAATAATAATAATAATTAATTAATTAAATCAATAATTAAAAATAACATCCCTCCTAACAGTGCACAAAATTAACCAGTCCTCGCCAAACTACATTTGTGTTTTTTAATGTTTTACTAAAATACTTTGCAATTTATGAATCTAGCATAAAAATATAATACATCCATCAATACTGCGTCTGATTACAGGGATACAAAAATACAGCATAAAGAGTGATACAAAATTATATAATATAAAATACTTTGAGGACAAAACAAAAACAGCAGCGCGGGGTAAAAGAAAAGTTGTGACACCGAGATGCAAACTCTTACAAGACACTTTGTCTCTGCTTTCACCACAAAGTGATCAAACTACACATCACCATCTGATAACAGGATGATACAAGCACAAAACTGGGATACAAATCTCTCATTATGACAAAAAGAAGAAGAGCTGGGCTGAAGCTAGAAGCCAGTTATCATTTTAATGCTTTACTCACATCTGGTCGAGATAATCAGCAAATTGTTTCATTCTGCTGGTAAAATAAATATGTTTGTGTTATTATGTTTGGATTCAGATTTTAATGGGTTTTGGAAACTATGGAATGTGTTTTGCATGGATCTCTTGAACCGTGGAAATTAATGACGTACAGTAACAACTCAACTGAAAAGTGGTAATAAAAGAAAAGATAATTTTGATATTACATGCAGTCGCGGTGAAAACAGACTCAAAAGCCTTTTTGAATATTCCACTACTTTTACAGCAATGCTTTAAAGGGACAGTTCACCCCGGAATCAAGTATACATATACATATTCCTCTTACCTGTAGTGCTATTTATCAAAATACATTAATTTGGTGTGAGTTGTTGAGTCTTAGACATGTCTACCTTTTCTCAAATACAATGGATCTAGATGGCACTCGGCTTGTGGTGCTCAAAGTGCCAAAAAAAAATACATTTGAAAACCACAACAGCAATGTCTCTTTCCAGAAATCATGATCGGATACTCAAGATAATCCACAGACCTTGTTGTGAGCAATTTCATGGAGGGACTATTTTTTGCGTGGAAGGAGGTGTGCATCCTCTGCTAGCTCATCTAGCACCACTGAGCTAGCTAAAATTACAGCTAAGCTAAGTGGGATGCCATTAATGTTAATATCTCGGGCTGTCAAGAGCACAAGCCTCTCGTCCATGAGTAGATGCACACTTTTTTCAGAGCAGAGGTTGTTGTGTGAGCTCTGTAGAAAGAACGTAGTCCCTATGGGAAACTGCTCACAACAAGGTCTGTGGATTATCTTGAGTAACTGAGTCATGATTTCTGGAAAGAAACATTGCTGTTGAGTTTTTCAAATGTATTTTTTCGGCACTTTGAGCACCACAAGCTGAGTGCCATCTAGTTCCATTACAGACATCTCTACAGCTGATATCTCCAACACTCAGCAGCTAACACCAAAACAATCTAGGCTGATAAACAGCACCACAGGTAAGAGGAAATATATGTATATTTGATTTTGGGGTGGACTGTTCCTTTAAAATGAACTTCGACTGGACTGGAAACAAGCGAGATTAACTACTCAAACCAATCATGACAGACAGTGGTATACTTTATAACACTGTTAAATAGTGTTAACGGAAAAGGTCCATGGTGGCCACAGCACGTCTCTCACTGTTAGAGTGAGTTGGCCGTGATGAAGACGAAGATCCTGGCCTGGAAAGTGGTAAACGTCCCCTGTCTCCAAAGCTTCATCTCCACAGTGATCGAGAAATCCCTGGGACCCTCGACCTGTCGATTTAAGTACACAGCGCCCGTGTAGGCGTTCAGCTTCCGGGTGCTGAAGTAGTTTTCCTCATTTCCCCGCGTGATGGTCACGATGACGTTGTCTCCCGAGTAGGCGGGGGAGGGTCCGATGCGGAAGATCTGAGCAGGGACGACGATGTTGGACTGGAAGCTGAGGTAGTAGTAGGTGATTCTCAGAGGGGAGTTTTGACAGTCCAGGTAGTTGGGACAGCTGATGCGCTCACAGCGCCTACAAGGGACACAGAGAAGGAAAACTTTATTTGTAGAGCACCAAGGCATTTCAGCGTGCTCAACATGAGACATATAAAGTCCTGGTATACTTCAGAATATATTTTTCAGAGACACTTTCTATGAAGACCATATTTACAGTGCATCATGGGGGCATTCATAGTGAATTATAATGCATTCATAATGATTATGACTGTGTTTAAAACACACACATAATGCACACAGTATAGATATGACTTATAATGAGTGTGTGTGTGTATGTGTGAAGGGGTTCATAATGGGTTCACACATTGCAGTGGCTGCATGCAGTGCTTGGGGTGAAAGAACATAAGTGCTGGTACTCCCCTTGTTCACATGTTGGCATGTTTATCAAGCGGGGGTGGGCAGTGGGAGTGGCACGAACATTAGCTTGCATTTAGTGACACAGGATTTAACTCCCACTCTGTCCGCGTCCTCTTGCCCCTCTGGAGCACGGCCAGCATTATAATAATGTTAAGTGACAAAGACTGGCCGCCAACATGGGTGCAATTTACGAGACAAGAATGGGAACAGGTGAGCGTCAAGTACTGCTCTCTGAGTGGCCCATGTAGTGCCCCCCAGTGTCCTCTGGGTAATGCAGTTTATTTAGGGCCATTATGAATCACCCTGAGAACTAGATATGGAGAGGGCAGAGAAGAGTACCAGCAGCTTGAGAGAAGTGGCGGTGGGCAAGAAAAAGTCATGATACAACGAGGAGTAAAACACAGAAGTGAGAGGTGAGTACCGACCCACTTGGAGCACTGGCTGCATACAGACAGTTGTTAATGGTTTGTTAGAACATCCATTGTCATTGCTTCTATTCAATAGTGATAATGAAGTCTTTTTCTTACTTTGTATATATAATATAGGTTTATAACTTAAGGTTCCACTCCTAAAGCAGACACATTTTACTTGTTATTCTTTATATTGTGTGTTAACATTTTGGTATCTTTTATAACAACCAATTATGAAGCAGCATAGATTCTTTTAAATGCATGAAAATGCATTACACTTCACTTTATACTTATTTATTTGATATATTTTATATATATCATTTAGAAAACAAATAAATAAAATATATTGTTGGAAAAAATCTATAAAAACAGAGACAAACAATAAATCATTAACAGACTTAAAATGAGAAACATAAATGAACATTTCATGTCCGAAAAGGAGCAGGAAGAAGCAACATGCTTGTCTAGCCCTACCTCCAACCCCAAACTATACTCATCCATCACTAATCAGACTACTACATAAATACACTCCACACCACCTGCACTTCTTAATACCTGATAACCAATTTCACCCTGTGTATTAAACAAATACAAAGATACAAATTGAGAATACAGACAACAGTCTCACCCTGAGTGCACTTTACATCCCTCCTAATCATTTCTGCACCTTGCGAAGATACTTTCTTTGTGCCTCTTTTTAAACTGTCTAGTATCTTCACTTTACCAGCAATGAAACATCATAATGAAGCATGCATTATTAGAGATGCATGAATATATACTTCACTTTACTTAAAACACAATGGTAACTTATGATAGTGCATGTACTATTGCAGCATATTGTGAGTTCCTACAACAGTTGACTGTGGAAGTGTGTATAGATAGTCATGTATTATCAGCCCCAACAGTCAGCCATATGTTACCTGAACTTGTAATTCATTGTTATGTGACATCTATAATGTTTTATGACTGTTAATGTAGTACATCAGAAAGCATGTTCATGAGTGAAGTCATAAAGGATTACAAATGCTTTATAGCTCACTATGAATGCCCCCATAATGCACTATGTGGTCTTTATAGAAAGTGTTACTGATTTTCTTTTCCTTTCACTCCTCTCCCTCTTCTTGCTTTCAAATAAAAAACTATCCTTTACAGAATAATCCAGCCTCATATGAATCACAAAATCCTAACAGAAAGGTCAATGAGGCATCTTACTGAGCAGTGGAATGGGTTTTGAACCGATTTCATCACTTACGTGTCCGTCCCTTTGCGGTAGTTTGGTGGACAGTCGAGAGAAAGGCAGCGATACCCTCCTTGGATGTTGTAGCAGGTCTCAGCTAGAGAGCAGTTATGGGCCCCTGTGGCGCACTCGTCGATATCTAAAACACACAGTTAATGCACAAGGGCTGGTTTACTGCCTGCAGTCGAGGAAATGCGTTTGTCACAGCATAATTGAACTTTGAGGAAAGGCCTCATTGCTGAAACATGTGAGACGAAAAACTGCTCGGGTAAAAAATTCAAATTAGCGCGACAAGATTTTTAGGCCAATAAAGTTTTACAGTCTGTGTAATTACTGAGCCACTGTAAAAGTACCAATTATATTTATCTGAGCATAACCGTAACTATACACTCTATGTGGAGTTAAACTGATGCGGAGCTGTTTTAAAATCTATTTCCAAGCTGAACTCAATGAGGTGCACTTGCAGTGAAGCAGCTACAGCACAGCGAGTGCATGCATTGAGTTGGTTTTGTTTCATAGAGGGGTGTTCACCTCTGCAAGAGCGCCCATTTGGAGACATGGTATAGCCATACTCAGGACAAGCACACTGGTAACTGCCAGGAACGTTCACACACTTGTAGGTACACAGATGGCCGATGCTCTGGGAGCACTCATCGATGTCTGAACGGCAGAGAGGAAATAAATCATGTGAGATTGATTCGTAAACTTGTCCAAGCATATGTTTGGTATAAATGTGGTATTTGTGATGTGTAACAGAGTGTGCCCCACCTTCGCAGGTGTGCCCGTCCTCCCGGAGGTAGTAGCCCTGTCTGCAGTAGCACTGGTAGGAACCATAGATGTTGGCACACTCCTGGCTGCATGGGCTGGCCAAACACTCATTCATATCTGGAGATTAGAGGTTAGAGCTCATTACTGTCACAATCCACTTGATCAAAGGATTCTCAATGTTTTTATCCTAACATATAAACACCATGCTGTTATTAAGCCAATTATGTTTTTACTGGTTTGTGCTTTAAGGCATGGCATGATATACAGTGCAACACTAACACCCCTCGCTGCCATTCCTCTTCAGCAATATGCTGCTGTACAGTGGCCAGCTTTAATATCAGCTCAGTCTAGGAATCTGCACACACACACACAAACCTGGCACACCAACAAACACACACACACAGGCATATTTTCACGCGTAGATTCACAAAAACATACAACCGCAAGCATTGACATGTACACATGGATGCACACACACCCAGGCAGACAATCATACACACACCTTCACAGTTCTTTCCATCGCCGGATAAGCGGAAGCCAGTTGTACACGAGCATTCATAGGAGCCTGGGGTGTTCTCGCAGGTCTGGGCACACAGGCGGCCTGGGTAGCGCCAGCACTCATTTACATCTGAGAGGAAGAAGCAGTGTCATCACACCGCTGTAAGTGTGTATTGCATTTGTGTGTATGCACCCATATGTGCGAGGGCACGCGTGCAACCGAGCATGAGCTGGTCCATTGCCCTGCACGACGGCGTATACGTTTGCATGCCTGTGCGTGTTTGAGTGCATGTCAATGAGAGTGTGATGTGAGGGGACCAGCTGCCTGCTGATAGTCTAAACACTTGAGCAGAGTCCATTATTATGAGAGTCACAACATAGTGAATCACAAACAGAGGGAGCAGCAGCAGCGGCAGCGGCAGGGGCAGAACGAGGGTCCTCTACAGCAGGAGACGTGATCGGCCCAGTGGCTACTGCAGGAGCCAGCAGCAGAGGCTGGCATACAGCAACAGCTCTCCCACCGCAGAATAATAAACAGGAGCAGCAGAAGAGGCAGACAAAGAAGATGGGTGGCTGTACAGTAGTGCAAAAGTGATGAAGAGCGAGAGGAAGGGAAGGAGGGAAGAGAACGAGCGTGAAACTGAGGGACAAGGGAGAAAAGACAAAATGTACAAAGCTCCACCTTTCTTTCTGTTCTGCTGTATGTGCAGTATGTGCGCTTCCTCTGCATGGTGATGTGAATGATGTCTAACATACCTACACACATTCTTCTGAATGAGTCATACTGATAGCCTGTCTGGCATTCACAACGATATGAGCCAGGCAGATTGTGGCACAGCTGGCCCTCTCCACATCGATGCAGACCGCTCTGACACTCGTCCACATCTACGAGACACACATGAATAGTAAAGAGACGGAGAAATCAATAAAATGACAAAGATGACATTCAGCTGCCATGAAGGAATGTTTGTTGTTGTATTTTGACAGTCTCCTTAGTGTGTGGAATAAGATTAATCCTTTACTGCAATGGAAAAAACACTCAAAAATATCATCATTCTTTGTAATTTAAAGGAGCAGTGTGTAGGATATAGAGCCATCTAGTGGTGAGGAATGCAGATTGCAACCAGCTGAAATTGTTCAAGAGGTTTTTACCAGGAGCCTCTCTCGCCTGAATTGCATCAACGTCTTCAGGTCTGTATATAAAATCATCAGATTACACAGTCTTCATGTGTAAAAACCACAAATCATACCGATACATGTGGAGCCATCAGGACTGGCATGATAGCCACGGCTGCAAATTATCTTCCTATGGCACATGTAGGATCCCACAGTGTTGGCGCAGTTAAATGCCAGACCACATGGCTGGGGCGAAGCGGCACACTCGTCAATGTCTGTTGCAGAAAGAGAGACGGAGGGAGATGAAGATGAAGAAAGACAGAAGAAGAAGAAGAAGAAGAAGAAGAAAAACACAAAGGCACAAAGGCAGAGCACGAGAGACCAGAGGGCAGCTCTTTAGCCACACCGTCATATCAAAGCAAACACACATCACACAGTCGCATTCCCTCGGATAGCTTTGTTGTGCGTGTCTGACATTTTCTCGATTTTCTCATTTCTCAGAGCATTTCTTTTACACTCCTTTTCACAGGGGCGTCGGCTGCCTCGACATGCCCCAGTTCCTGCCCCTGGGGGCTAATTCCACAGCATCAGTTTGTACTGGAGGAGGACAGAGGATTGGCTTTTATCCACCCCTCCGCAGCCCCTAACAGCAACCTGTCTGATCTCCTGTCTGTGTGGCTTTTAACCCCTCTGTCACTGCAGCCTCACTGATTCACCTGCACGGCGTGCAACAGCAGACTATGATTCACCTGTGGGGAAATTTCATACTTGACTTGGTTCAATCACTTGTGCTTGGGAACAAGATTGGAATCTCAAAAAACAAAAACAATACTAAATGTTATATAAAACAAGCAGTGAGGGGGGGCAGGGGGGTCATGGCCTCCCTTATACAATGGCGCCCCCCTACTACTGGCCCTCCTGGTGAAAATAATTCAAGGCTGACTTTACGGTATTGAAGAGGCTGTGGTATGCTCATTTTTCATGCTAGCACAAAGGTAGTGGTATCGCATGAAACAGGACAACCTTAGGTATCCATTGGTACCAACCATGTCTGCTTGTCAGGAAAGGGGCTAAATGATGCTACAAATTTAGGCTAAATTTTGGTGAAGGAATAGCTGGCATGGCCGTTTTCAAATAGGTCCCTTGAACTCTCACCTCAAGGAATGAAAATGGGTTCTATTGGTACCCTCGAGTCTCAGCTAAACTAGAGAGGGCTTGTTCCCAGTAAATGTTATGTTCCTGACAATCAATGTAGTCCTTAAAATTAAGGAAAAGGACAACAGCCTATTTGGAGAACAATGAATTGCATAACATGTATGGATACATCACACATTAAAGCAGGACTGTTGTGGGACTCAAAATGTGCCGATATAGGTCTATGCAACTGTAAAATGCAAAAAAACAAAGCATATCAGTATCAGTTTCCTTAACTCTCATACTGATACAGCTTTTACTAGCCTATATGCTTCAACAGCACAATCAAATTCCTGAAATTCAGACAGAATTCAGTTGTAACTTTTGTTTTTTTGGTATGCCAGTCAAATTTTCTGTGACTCCATCTAGCCGCCCACTGAAAACAAGGCCTTGTTGGCTTGTTATATACAATTTAATCCATATTCAATGACACCAAAAAACACTTCATCAGTTTATTTCCTCCATAAGCACAATTAAATGAGGGAAAAAAATAGTAACTGAATGAAAACCTGCATACATGCCCTAAATCGTTTGCCCAAGTATTGGAACATTTGCAGACCTCGCTGTAATTGGAAAAGCAATTACGTAACCATCGCAGTAAGGAAGTGATTTCTCTTACCTACACACATGCCCTGTGCGTCCTGGTTATAGCCCACAGGACATTGAGGTCTGGGGTTGCACCTGAACGAGCCCTCCGTGTTCACACACTCAAAGCCGAGCCCACAGTTATGGGTCCCCTGCACACACTCATTGATGTCTGAGGATGGAGATCAATCAATGAGAATGAATGAACGAGGACTGAACACATGATTAATTGCAAATAAGCACAAATCAAATGTTATTAGTCTCAGTCTAATAATCCACAACGTGTGAACTACAGTGCATGCTGTGATACACGCATGTAATACTACATTTTGCCACTGGATGGCACTGTGGTTAAATGGCAGACTGTGCAGGTACTCATCTATCATAAAGCTCTCCCTGTCAATACCCTACAAGTTAATCAAGAGCAAAATAATTGTATTACAACTCAGAATTCTTATCTATGCTAATTACTCTTGTTATAACCAAAATGGCCTCAATGACAGTTATTATTTCGGTAAGATGGATTTATCTAATGAGTGAAAGCAGCAGGAGTCACATGCAGTAGCCCTCATGTGCAGAGTGTGAATGAGCACTGCAGAATATTCCTCCCCAGAGTCCACTAACGCCTGTCTACTGAGGGATTCACCTCCTGTCAATCAGCCTTCCACATCTGCTGCCGTAGTATGAACCAAAGCTGGGGGGAAATCAAAATCTCAAAGGAACACAAAATGTGGTGCATGTGTGTGTATTTGTGTGTGTGTGTGTGTGTGTGTGTGTGTGTGTGTGTGTGTGCATAATGCATGAGTGTCTTATATTTTCAAGCAGGCCTGCATGATTTTACCCCCGTAATTGCTGTACAGAGGCCTCAAACAGCTCTGGCGAGCAGCCCTGCTGATATAGGGTAGGTCTCTAAACAGCAGATCGTGATTGAGCATCTTGCTGCTGTCACAAGCCTGGCAGAGTCAGCAGGAGCTGAGTGAGTCCGACACCGACGGAGACAGAGAGAGAAAAGCCAGGAAGCACGATAAATGTGTGAGAGATTGGCCATGACCTCCTGAAAATTTAACCCTTGGCTGTGTTTTTCCACTGTTTCTGCTCCCTTTATTTACAGGCTCATGGCACGCAGGTGCATGCGTTAGTAGGGCTTGTGATATATTGTTTTATCCAGAATATGTCTGGCTGAAATGCCATCAAGACACCATGCATGTGCAAGGATACATTTTATGAATACAAAAGACTTGGGCAATTTTAAATGGTCTGAGTTTTTAGCCAGGCTCTGTGCAGGGCAATGCTGCTCTGTTGATTGCTTGGTCGATCTAACACTTTGATCCAGATTAAAATATGCAAACAGTTATTGGATGGATTGCTATCAAATTGCAGTGATTTGTGACTTTGTAACTTTGGTGATCCCCTAAATTTTCCTCTCGCACCTCCGTGAAGTTGAGATGTTATTTTGAGTGACTGCCATGACATTCATCTCCCCCCCAGGACGAATTGTAATAACTTTGGGGATCCTCTGACCTTTAATCTCGTGCCTTCATCAAGTCAAATGTTTAATTTGTCTAATATTTTCAGTAAATGACTAAACAACCACAGCTGTCTTTAGTGCTGATTACCAAGCGTTTGCATGCTAACAAACTAAAAAGATGGTGAACATTATACCTGCTAAATATCAGCAGCATGGCAGTGTGATTGTGATGTTGTCATGCTGGTGTTAACCTAAAGGAGCTCTATATGATATTCAGAGTGTCTCAATGATACAGAGGCTCACATGGCTCTCCACATGAAGGCAGCTGGGCCGGTGGCTAGCCGCTAACGGTGCAAACATCCCAAACAGTGCTAACAATGTCAGTGACGACAGAGCTAACAGTGTTAACCAGGGGTGTACCCAAGGATGGGCGCTATGCTTCCATGCTGCTACCATCCCAAGCGGCAATGCACTGCATAATGGTGGTGATTAGCTAACCACTGGGATGCACACAAGAGAGTCACATCCACTTCCTTCTCTGCTCAAGATGCCATTAATCCACTATATATTTACAAAGCAAATGTTTGCTGCTATATTAACCCTTTAAAACCTGAGCAAATTGGCTTGCTTTCTTAAAAAACAAAAACAAAACAAAAAAACATGGGACTAAGGCAATGAGAACTGAAAGAAGAAATGACCCCAAGAAATTTGCAAGAAATTAGTAAAAAGAGAAAATTAAAAACAAGAAAATTAGTTAAAAAAAAATAAAAAATATATAATAATTTTCTACAATAAGTTTAAATATATAATAATAATAATTAAAAATATTTTTCCCTAGCTTTTTTCTTTTTTTCCCTAGCCTTTAATAATAATAATAATATAATAATTTAATAATTTTCTAAATCTATTAAGCTTTTGCAATTTGTGCAACATTTCTTGGCAAGTTGCTCATTGCATTTTTCCCCATGTTTGTAAAAGAAACTGCACCAATTTACTTTAAGGTTCAAAGGCTTAAATACTTGCGAAAGGCGTCTGAAAGCTGCACAAGAAAAGTTATATCACTCCAGATTTCAAAAGGTTAATGCTATAAGTATTACATAGAGCTCCTTTATGTGCAGCCTCAAAGAGCCACTGGTGTGACTGTAGGTGCTTGGTCATGTGTGCATTTTTAATCATATTTATGAAATGAAATATGACTGCACAGATTAGAATATTAGTAATATAACAGAGATGTAACAACCATGATGATGGGACATTCTCTGCCTTAGCACTGTCAAAAATCTACTGATTGTGTAAAATATAAAAAGGCCTTTTTTCGTAGATTCATAACTTAAGTTTATAATATAAGTTTTGGCCCTTATCCCCTCACCCTCTGCTTTAGATAATGTAAACAGGAAGTGTAATGTTACCATGAACTATTGAGTCAGTTGTGTGCGCCCCCTTAGCTACTAGCAATTCCTATTTGATGGGGGAAAAGTCTAAATTTGATGATTATGTGCCAAGATCTGAAATAAGACACTGCTATAACAGAAAGAGGAAGTTGCACTGATTTGGGTAATAAGTGTATGACATCTCCTTTGACACCGAAAAGAAAGGGTGGGATTTTTTTGGCTGAGTTAGGAGGACAGTGAATATTAATGGAGGATCGCACAATTAATTCTTGGTCTTAGCTGCGTCATTGTGTTCAGAGAAGGGAGAGGGACACAATTCAGTTTCTCCCTGTGCAGTGATTTTGCTTCAGGGGGCAAGAGAAGTTTCATTACAGTGTCTCAGTAAGCCAAGAATAGGGAATAGGTAGCGTAGCACAAAGACATTTTTTCCCACTCCCTGAAGTGGCAGCTGTTTGGAGCCTTACCCTTAAACATACATTCTAGTTAAATGCTCATTTTGCCTGATTGAACATTCTTTAAGTTCACAAGGAGCTGCAGATTAGCAGTCTCCTTGAGCCCGATGAAAGCCATCTGCAACGGCAAACAGCACTTCCAGCACATCTAAGACTCATCTTAGGGGTCCCTCTTCCTGAACACTGCTGCTGCTGCTGCTTTATGAATGAGACCTCTGCACAGGCTCAATTTATGGCGCATGGAAATAATGAGACGTATTGGGAGGTTTACTATTGCATCTCAAAGTTGAGCGCCACCCACGAAGACAAGTCAAGCAGCTCTTCATCTTGAGAATTAACACCATGAAAATACTATGGAAATCGCCCTCTGGAGTAACGTTTCATATTACTCTCTATTGTCTGTGTGCTCACATGTGAAATTGCATAATCAGTAGATGGGAAGAATTAAAAAAAAATCTTGTTTTCGATTCTTACTCTCAGGGGTGGTGAAAAGTGATTGTTTGCCTGAACAATGTGCTTTCCTTACATTGTGAACATGCAGTACTACAAATGCTCTCCTGCTGGTATTTACAACATATTCACAGTGTTATGATGAACGTGAACACTTTGATAGTGAAAAGGCGTACAGTACCTTTGCAAATGCCATTGTTGATCTGGTATCCCGGGGGACATGTGATCGGTCTCTGACAGATGTAACTCCCTGCAGTATTCACGCAGCGCTCATTCAACTGGCAGGCCCTCACGGACAAACACTCATTTATGTCTAGATGTTTAAAAAAACGAATAAAAGACAAAAGTGCAGGTGTGAAGAAAGAGAATAAATAATGAAAAGTGCACAGTAGAAGACGGAGATGTACAAAAATACGGAGCTGTGGTCTGTGTGTAGCAGTCTGCAGTTAGAAGCGGATTAAAGAGACAGGTCGGACCCTCCTCTGGGAGAAAGATTAGGGGCAAGGCCACTGGGTATAACCTCCACACAATGAGAAATTTGTCACCACACTGAAGTACTCTGTGTGTCACTGCCACAGTTTGCGGCTGTCACGCAGGAGACAGGTTATGGCTTAACTTAAATATATATCCGCGGGGAGACAGCTTAGACTCATAGAGCTGATCAGTATTGTAATAAAACACAGTCAGCCACCATTCTGAGTGGAAATAAAGAGTACATATGGGATGCAGTTGGTGAGATACGTCGTGATAATACATGGATCGCTGGGATGATCCCTCTGGTATGGAGACTCAGTTCAGGAACAAGATGAAAAGAAACGTCTCCCATTTATATATTTTATTTTTCTGCATCACAGTGTGTTGTGGAGAGTGAAGGGGATTAGGGCTGTATCTCCTCTGCACATCTAGAGGCGCTGATTAGAGAAAAAAGACAAATCAGCGGCGGACAGTCGTGCCAAGAAACTCTCCTCGGCTGGAACCCCTCTGGCTGAGACAGACGACTGAAATGAGGGCTGAAATTGCGAGCCATTTTTCACCTCTATGATTGCAAAAAATTTCCACATGCTACCCCTGCTGTGAGGTGAGAAAATGTTTTCAGCATTATAACCAAGTTTTGGTTCCTTACCCTCGCAGGAGCGTCCATCAGATGTAAGGGAGAATCCTGGGAAACAGGAGCATTGTGGCCTTCCGCCCACTGAGGTGCAGTGTTGCTCACATGGGCCGTTTCCTGAAAATAATACCGTACAGTGAGGTCAAATGAAACATGCTGCACTGCCACTACACGCAACAACATTTAGGGTGAAACAGAGGAGAGCTTTGTGTCTCTGGGTGGGAGACAGAACATTATTGACTGTATTGCCGTTTGCTCATTTCCTTTTTGGTTGATCCCTGACCTGGTCATATTGTATTTCCTACTTTTGGCCTGCAGTGTGGTAGACCTCCACCCTGGTGTCATGGCAACCAAACATGACAAACAAAAAGTGACCCTGTGCAGATTATGATATGGAGAACTCCATGCTGAAAACAAACTAACCTTTGATACCATCTCACTGCTTGTGTTTGACATTTGCGGCACAATTACATTTCACGGAAGGGGTGAGCTTGACATAATAACATGTCAATCTATAGCACCCGGCGCCGGCTTCTCCTCTAAACATATTCGACTGCATCAAGATGCCTGCTCCAGTTTCCCATTAAGATGTAAGGATGAATGAAAGTGCTGCTCGTGGGCTGTCACGCCTGCAGCTCCCTCTCCTCTCATTAAGCTGTGTGTTTCTAACCTTCACAGGGGTTGAGTGGGACAGCGGGCTGGGTGGGGGGCGGAAGCGGTGAAGTGGGCTCCGCTGCTGCTCTGTCATCCTCCTTCAGTCTGTTCTCCTCGTCCACCGTCTCTGCAGAAACATGAATAATCCCATCACAGGGGTGATGAATTACACTGTAATCAAGGATTCCACCTCTCAATCTACTGCTGCCTTAGTTAGAGGCTTAAGCTTTGTGCAATTCCTGCGTCTTCATCTGACGATATGAGGATAGCAGCTACAGATGAAAGTTGTAAATGCGGTGAAGGTGAGACAGGAAAAAACATTGCCTGAAGACAAACATTTGGTTTTATTAGTGAGCCTCATCCCTCACTGTAATTTGCTGAGAGCTCTGGCATTAGTATCCTGTTGAGACAGGTTTGTGTTGGCGAAAGCCAGTGTTGATTAAAGTCTGGAACACTGCAGACAACTTTACCTGAAAACATTCTTAACTGTACATCTGAGCGAACCCTCAGCTTGTGCAAAGAGTATTTTTCAAATAGTGAAAATGCCTCTTTCTTCTTCAGCTGAAAAGCTTTTTTGCAGATTAGTTGACCATTGCTGTCAGTCCAGGAAAGGGATGTTAGTGTGCGATTAAAATAACTATTATTAGGCAGTATCAGGGCTTGCAGACAGGAAGGAACTCAAAGAGACCAGGAAAATAATACACTGCAAATGTTAGACAAATTACGACAAATGGGGTCTTCCTGACAGGAACGCCGAATGTGAATCATATTTTCAAAGAGCAAATGGCACCGCTTTCCTGTGTACTGGCATCACTTAAAATGTCTGCCAGCACTGTGTGACAAAAAAAGATTAGCGGTCTTGGCTTTACCTTGCACACATGTGAAAGCGTCCTCTTGCAGCACGTATCCCGGGAAGCACTCGCACCGGTAAGAGCCCGGCGTGTTGACACATCTGTGGTGGCAGATGTTGCCCTCATATATCAGGCACTCATCCATGTCCTCCACCTCAACAGGACCCTCCACTGCATTCTCCCCACCCCGCTCATCGGCAATGGAGAAGGCCTCTTTTGGGTACGGGCTGTCAGATACTGCTGGAGAGAGCGGTTGTTACTCTGTATGAAATAAATCACTGCATTAAACAGTTTAACATGGTTTTATAGCGTTCCCTAAAGGAGAACACCTCAATAATAATAATTACAGCAAAGACATGATGGCCACAACAATGGGGAGGATTTCTTTTCTTAGTTTTTATTATATTATTTATTATTATTTATTATTATTATTTATTTCTACAGGGATAAATACACAGCACCAATCACTGCCACATTAGCACATTATTCATATCCTAAAGGAGCTTGCAATCCTTCTGCTTAGATCCATAGGTGTCTATCCTATCCTCACGCAGCGGTTAGTATGATATCCTACAGTTGACATTCGGATACATGAACTACATTACATACTTAACATAAAGTTAGAGATGTCAGGTTTAAGCCATTAAGGAACTGCGGTTACGCTTAGGTAAAGAAACAGTTCACACAGTCCCAAACCGCAGTCCCCTGGGGAAAGTCCTGAGGGAGGTTTTATGTTTCGTAACCTTTCTACCACCCCAACCTGCCTCTTTACTGGAGGGCTTCCATTTTGATTCATTACTCCTGTCAGCACATTGGTCACATGATTGCAGCGTTTCCAAATATGTGAATTATATGTGAATTACTGGCTCATGATTATGTTGGATATCCTCCTGAGACCCGAACTTTTGTTTGGTATGCAGTTTTGATTGGGAGGAAGCCGGAGTACCTGGAGAAAATCCATGCTGACACAGGGAGAACATGCAAACTCCACACAGAAGGGCTCCCTCCTAGGATCGAACTGCTGTGAGGTGACAGTGTTAACCACTACATCACCGTGCCGCCCAGTATAAGGTCCATTGCCTAGACTGGCTCTTAAAAATAGAAATGCATCTCAACAAGATGCACAAAATGCATCAATACAGGCTCATAAATGCATCACGTAGATGTTTATATAATGTTATGATTAAAAAATGTTGTGTTAATGGAGGATGTCTCGCTGTATTTCTGATGTTTTCTATACAGCAGCTTCAAATCCTCAATAAGATGAACAAAATGTTTGTTATGTGGTGGTAATAAAAAGTAATGAACCATAAAAGAGAAAAACATCCTAATGAAAAGCACCCGATCACCCGTGACCACAAGGCAGGTCACTCTTCAAACAGGTTTTTCACCTTATAGTAGCCAAAGCAAATCAATACAAGAATACTACCAACAACACAGTGCTTCACTGAAAAAGGATTTAATGCAGGTGGGCCGGCGGGCAGGCACTATAGATCTCTTAAAATTACAGCACAGGGGTGAACTAGGCTGCTATACTTTGTCCTGGTAGGCCAATGAGGCGTGACATCTTTCAGCAAGGTTGTGGAATCTTACTGCAATGCTTCCTTTTAACAAAAATGTATTGTCTTGGGTTTAAATCAGTGCTTTTCCCTGGCCGCACACTGGTGTGTATTACATGCCCCCGCCCAATAGCATCTCCTTTCCTGGCACGGAGCACACAGTGCATTCACATTCTGGAGTGTGTTTGTGTTTGTACGTGCAAATAATTGTTGACAGTACCTTTTTTTGGCGGTGGACTGGAGTCCAGAGCGGGCCTCTCTCTGACTCTCTGCCAGCCGTCTTGATTCCCCGTCCTGCTCTGCTCCCCCTCGCAGCATTTTAGAAAGACGTGTCTGCAGTGGAAGCCCAGGTGCAGGTGGGCTTCGCAGCGATGCACCTCACGGTGGAAACGCAGCCCCAGAGAGCAGCAGTCGCAGCACTCCTGCAGGTCACACAGTCAGACTTTACACATGTAGTCATGGATCATGGAGCTCTGTAGAGCAGCTGCTGTACGTTTACAGTCAGTGGTCCATGTATGCCAGGTTTGTTTATAGCCACACTAGCGGCATGGCTTTGAGGATGGCTATACCGGTCTGTTGGTCTGCTACTTTGATCAAGACTGAAATATCTTGATAACTATCACATGGATTGCCATTTTAGTGCTGACACAGTGGTCCGCAGAGGATTACTGACTCCCATATGTTTCCTCTAGTGCCACCATGAGGCTTCTAATTTGGTTTGATTGCACTTTATTATCAGAATATTTTTTCTTTTGTGGTTATAAAAATAATAGACGTAGTTATTGTGAGTTCACCCATTGGTTTGTGGACTCCCATTTTGAAGCCTCAGGTTTTTGCCATCACCATCTTGGATTATTGGAGCCAGAAGTGACCCAAGGTGACCATTTTTGGATGAGAGGATGGAGCTGGGGAGGAGCGACGGTGGGTAAGTTACCTTAATTTGCTAATGTGACACCTAGCAGGCAGCCTGTCATGCAAAGTGTTGACGTAGGCCTTGATTATGAGTAACTTTAAGCCTTAATAAAATTCAAATATTTAAGTTATATAAAAATTTAGCCTGCTGTAAATGTTTTTCTGCTGTAAAGTTGAGCACTTTAACATGGGGGGTCTGTGGGAATTGACTTGTTTTTGGAGCCAGTTGCCATTCAAGGAATGTCAATTTTTGGCACTTCAGCATTGGCTTCATTTTTCAGCCCTAGAGGTTGCAACTTGCCCATAACTTTTCCTTTAGCGTCATCATCAGCTCAAATTTTTAATCTGTTCAGTACTTTAGTTTTTGACCAAATACCTACAATGACATTCCCATCATTATCAGCTGCATATTTGCAAATGTGAACATACTAATACACTAAACTACCATGGTGAATGTGGTAAACATTACGCGCTAAACATCAGCACGCCAACAGTGTCATTGTGAGGATGTTAGCATGCTGACGTTAGCATTTAGCTCAAAGCACAAATCCATGTCTAGCGTGGCTGTGGACTCTTAATCTTGCTGAAGTTAACTTTGATAGTTACAAAGATGAATTTGGGGGCGACTGCCTTTGCTCACAGTCTTTCTCCCTGTAGCTCCCAGCAAGATCACCACTTAGAGTGCACAGAGGCATTGCGAAACATAAAAGAGAAGTAATGACCGCTGTGATGTACTGTGCTTGTAGATGGCATAATATTACTAAATCTACAGGGGTCCTACAGGAAGGTGGTGAAAGCCAATATCTAACAGCTGTCCTGCAGTATAGAGTCAATAACGGCCCCATGCTGCTCAAGGGCCTCTGAGCAGGTGAGTAAGTAGCCTATCCTTCAACACGCGGGTCAAATGGCAAATAAGTGGCTTTGGGAATCGGGGCGAACATGATGGAGTTTCACAGTCACCGTGACTTGACCCTCACTGACCGCCTCAATAGCTTCGTGTCTACCACTGCTACTGTTTTACCACATCAATTATCAGTCCATGCTTCACAATTTCAGAGAGGCCAAACAGGACTGTGGGAATATTCGCTTGTAATTAGCCCTAAATCATTTTGTGTAAATTAAATAAGGAAATTGAATAACAGGGAATTGGCACCACAGCAGTAATGCTCGGAGGAGATATGGAGAATAAAGTTACTCCAACACTGCAGAGAGACTCTCACTGGCAACAGACTACACGTGTTTTCAATTCTACTGGGGCTAATGCGTTCATCAATTGCTAATTCAGACTGTATTAGGCCTAATTTGAAATTTACAATGTCATTAAGTCTGACTGTGAACCCAGTGAACTGTGTTTGCCCTTTACGGGGCTATCTAGTCACAGATACTTGCCTTGTAGGAATCGATCCCACATTTATCGCTGGCATCCTCTTGACACATATTTCCTGCTCTGGCTGCAGTCATTCCAGCCAAACACCGACTTTCTCTCAGGGAGCCGCGGCAGCACTGTTGTTGGGCAGTCCTGGCAGAGAAAAGCACAAAGGAGAAACGAATGTTTGAGTGTTTGGACTGCAACTGCGGCCCTACAGCAACAATGAGTGGGTTGGCTGTGTTTCCCACAAGTGCAGCTACAGAGCTGACTGAACTGTGTTTTCAAGTTTCTGTAAATTTAATTAGAGGGAAGAAATCGAAATTGAAAACTTAATAATTTACAACCAGTCAAAGGTCCAAGGACCATCAAGTGTTTGCAAAGAAAAATGAACTTTAATGTGACTGATCTTTCAAGAAAACACCCATAACATCACATTATGACTCTGCCATTATATCTTTTGCACATTTTAATAATGTCACTTTATTAATCCATCTTCATGTTCACTCTTTGTTGCTGAGTCAAATGAAGTGGCTAAACAGTCAGCTACCTTTCCACAGAAGACTATTTAAGATGATTTACAGTGTGTTGTATTTAATTATAAGAATTAAGCTAAATGATGTGAGTGGGAGTTTAATAATGGCCTTACCAGCAGATGGAGTGTCTATCGTTTGTGGGAGGCTCCATGTTGTTGCAGTGACCATTAGCTGAAGCCCATTTCTCCCCTGTCTCGCAGCAGGTCTTCACCAGATCCTTGGCAGACACTATAATGAAACACAAACACCCAGTTCCAGATTTATCCCACTCAGTGCAGCCAGTGTTTCAGAGGAAGCACATAAAATAACAGTCACAATGTGAATTCAGCTGGAAGAGGATGGTTAACATTTACCATCACACAATCCCATTAGTGAGATGCTGTAAAACCTAGTTACAGGATTTCATCTTTGGTGGAACACTTGTCTCAGGAATAGACTTAGAGTGTAGACTACACACTGAGAATAGCAAGTACAATCTGTGTTTTTCTTTTCAGACTCCTCGACTCCACTCTTACTTTCATTGGCAGAGAGAAGTATGTAACCCAAAACTCTATAAAATTACCTTCAGAGTAAAATTGTCCTTTTCTGTTACATCCTGGCTAATCAGAGCTGGAGCAGAGTGAAAGACTAACACATTAGCACTTCATTACAAACTGGGTCAAGGAAGAGAAAGAGCAAAAACACATTTCCCGGTTTATAGGAAAAAATGTATACGTGTTCCTTCAATAACAGGGCAGCACATTCCAGCTTTGATTTGTGGGCTCCTGCGCTGCTGAACACTCATGACATGCATGTCTTAACAGTCACATCATACAGCAGAAAATACTTCTTCTCTGGATATTCACCAAACACAATTTTTTTGCAGAGCACTGAGTGTTTACCAGCTGCGACAATGTCATAACGGCTGGTATTGTTCTCACTTTGTGAATCTGTGTTTGTGTGAGTCATCATGGCAAAATGTGGTGCTGGTGGCAACTACTGTGGTGGGAACTAACACAGACGCTGTTGTGAGTACTTTGCCAGGTGTTTATCTCTGCCTGTCGGTCTGTGGACAGATTTTTTCAATGCGATGGCGTCGCCACAAGATGCAATCACAAAACTTAACAGATGTGTTGCTAGGATTAAAATAAATGCCAAGTTTGAAAATGGGTTTAGTCTGAAAGTCGAGGGTTAGAGGGGCCCTTGTCTGCTCCACTCAACACCCCTGCCCCACCCACTGTATAAGAAGAAGAAGAAGAAGAAGAAGAAGAAGAAGATATACTTTATTAATCCTTCAGGGGAAATCCAATTTTTCACTCTATTGTCATATACACACAGGCCTGAAATACACACACATGCACAAACAGGACCTATACCTATATGCAATAAATGGAGAGGTGTCAGAGTGAGGGGACTGCCAATGGACAGGCGTCCTAAGGAGTTGGGGGTTTGGTGCCTTATTCAAGGGTACCTTAATAGTGCCCAGGAGGCAAACTGGAACCTCTCCAGCTAGCAATCCACACTCCATATTTGGTCAGAACAGAGACCTGAACGGGCGACCCTTCGATTCCCAACCCAAGTTCCTATGGGCTGAGGCACTGTTGCCCCGCAGCCGGTGTAATCCCATTGCAAGATGGTCCTAGTATGTTTGATGTTCAATTTTGACCACTGCTTTCTCAAAAGATCATATTAGTTTTCCATGTATTTAGTCATAAACCAAAGCATTGGACAAATTAAACATTTTGACTTGATACTGTTTCCTGGCATACAGCGAGTGAGCAAACGGACGGAGCGCAATAAAGTGTTGCCGAGTGACAACGACATTCAGGGAGCCTGTCGAGTCCTGAGCAAAGGCTTGCTGTTGCTCTGAAAATAGCTTTGAAGGTGTGCAAAGCTTTGCCAAAATAGAGCAAGGGTGAGTGTTATTTTTAAACAAGCAACACATTGCTTAGCCTGTTCACTGATGCACAGAGCAAGTTAGGACATCTTCACTGGGAAACACTGAAACAATCTGTTGGTTGCTTACTTGCTTGTTCGCAACACATCCAGCTTGGAGGAGGTGATATTCAGGGCTAAAAAAACTTTGACTGATTGGCATGATGATTGTCCCATCATGCCCATACTTTGAACCAACTTGGGCGAGCAGCTTTTTAAGCAAAAGACAAGTTGCTTCGCCTGCTCCCTGATGCACGAAGCAGGTTAGCACATCTTCAATGGGACAAACTGAAAAAATCCGCTCATTTACAGCATGTCTAGGTATCACACTTCTTTCTAACTAAACACGATGCAAACTTCGCACAACTCCAACCAATTTTTAAAGGCAACAGTAAACCGTTTCCTAGGCTCAATCAGGCTCCCTGAGTGCTGCTGTCGTTCGTAGTATATTTTTGTTCGTTTGCTGTATGTAAAGAAGTGGTGTGATGATTGCAAGAGATCAGTGTTGTTCAAGGTACTCTCAATACTTTCACTTTCAACAGCTTCCATTTATTACACTACTAGGAGACTGCTAGGAGAGCATTTGTCAGGTTAGGGATGACAACTTGTCGAAAAACTACTGGTTGCATAGCAACAAGTGGCACCTCAGGTCCATCCAATATTTGTCAAGACAGTTCACCAAAACAACAAATGAAAACCTTCTGGTAGCACGCGAGAGAAGGTCAGGGGATCACCAAGGTCAGTAGGAAATCATGAACATCTGTTCAAAATTTAATGGAAATCTACCATATATTTACCGAGATATTTCAGTCTAGATAAAAGTGGTGGGCTGACTGATCGACAGGCACGGACAGACTGACGTTGCCATCCCTAGAGCCACACTATCGTGGCTAAAACGGATGTGAACAATCTTCTAAAGGCTTTAATTGGTATCTCATACCATGGTCTGCTCCAACATAAACCTTAAATGAGGGTGTAGGTCACACAGAGGAGAGATCAAGCAAAAACCTTATTGCAATTCTAAATAGCATGAAGCTCAGCACAGACATCTGAGAGAGCCCAAGGTCATTCTCGCATTTCTACTTCGACATCCGCTTTATTTTTGTTGAAAAACCTCTCCTTGCCTTACCTATCCATAATAAGACCAAAGCAACTATTCCGAATAGAGCAAGTGACCGCTGCACTGTGCATAATTTAAAGGTTTAGAAAGTTGAAAATCCAAAACCTTGAAAGGCACAATGGCTCTTTGATACATAGCTACAGTATCTGTGCCAGCAGTTAAACAAGTCCCTTTGAACATGTCTGAATGTACATTAAAAGACAGAGGGCATAATTGTTCATCCTCCTTCTTTTGCCTCCTTTTCATTTTCTCCAGGAGGAATCTGTTCACCCATCATGAGCATTGCACAAATTTGCTCCATGTGTCCATCCAGAATGTGGAATGTATACAGAGTTAAAATACATACAGTTCATGTTTACACAGGATTTAGTGGATGAAATGACTTTGGAGGGAGACTGTGTTTCACCAAAATAACTACTGGGGCTGAAAACAATGACGAACTATTTCAGCCGAGCTCTATCCAAGCCTAACCAGGTCTCTTCCTGCCTCTTTGACAGACCTTCTAATTAAGACTGTATCGCAACTTGTTCCATTCAGCTGTGCAATAATTAGCGAAGTTGATTTATTGCGTTTTCACAATGGAGATCTAAAATACACACTTGAAAGGTGGCTGAGGAGCATCTCCCTGTTCCAGGCCTGTCATTATCTCTTTCTATTAAACTAACATTAACACCAGATGCTTGCCGTTGTCCAAATCCAAAACCGGTGACATCACACCCTTTGAAAATATGGAGCTAGAATAACAACCAAAAAGGGCAACTCTCAACACGTCTGGAGGCGTCATATGGCAGTGCGCCGCCACTAATCAAGGCTCATATGTCTTTTTCTTTGTGGACTTGGCAGTGATTTACAATACAGGTGGGCTGTAGAGAACATGGCCAGCAATGTCAACAGCAGCACATGCCAGAGGTCCATGACACACAAACTCATGTTCTCATTGTACATGTCAGATGATTGATGCTTAAGGCTTAAGAGCATGTCCGCGTTTGTGTGTGTGTATGTAAGCTTACAGGCCCCTGTTGAGCTCAGGAGGGAGTGACACACTTCTCACCTTCAGCATGAGTACTTGCAGACATATCGTGTCTTTTGAAACACATAATCACTGTCCAAAAACAGCTGGATGTGACATAACAGGGAGGGCTCTCCTGCTGTCACTATGACTTAATTTCCAAAACGGCCAATTCAGGATTCAATTATTGACAACTTATGTCTTAATCTCCCCGAGACTGTGAGCCAGCATCCATGTAATCCATCTTTTTGTAGTCTTAATCGGGGTTAAGGTTAGTTGATGCGAGCCCTGAGGGCTTGCCTCAGTCTTTGATGGTTCTACACAGTAACCTCCAATCCAATTACACCTCCTTGTGGTTAGATAACCCGAATGAAACATGCACGCTGCTTTGGATTTATTACTAATGGTACATTGAATTACTGCGACTTAAAGCTTGTGTTTCCCAAAGATGCCACACATGTCCTTGACACACCAAAGCCTGCATGTTTTGCAAAGTCCTTGCTAGGCAACATCAGCTTTAGAGATTCTTTTTGCATATTCAATTGGTTAAGTGTATTCGACCGCACGCCTCTGACCAAATACTCTCCACAGTCCTGTAATGTGAACCTGTTTCCCATTGCCTTATTATGCCTTATATATTCCAAGGTGTGTTCACACAGCAGAACACAGGAAATCTGCTCTTTCCTTGCCAGAGAGGAAATCCATCCAAATCCTGATTTTGGACCTGATGGACAAAAATAATCCTGAGGAATATTATTACCTAATTGGCTGATTTTCACAAGTCCCATTAGAGACTGGTCTTTATTAATGAAGGTGGAGGATGTGGTGAACAATAGGGGAGGCTTGTCAAATAATTTTATAATTAATATTTTTTAATTATTTTACTATCATTAGGGACTTGTGTTTTCTGTGTTGGCCTTGGGGAGGATATTTGAGTCACTTCCTTTAGACTCCCATGTTAACATGCTTAACTTTACAGCAGAAATAAACATGTTTACAGTGTGGTACAAGAAATGGTTTTAGTTGCTTGGGCTAATTTCTGTGTTCATGACAACTATACAAGGGGTGACATTTCTTTAACTCACTTATTTACATTTTATTAAGGCTTAAAGTTACGCATAATTAAGGGCATGCCAGCTTTAAGTGATAGTGTCCTCAGGTTCTCAGTCACATCCATCCCTCACT